TATTTAACATATTTCAATCTTTGTCAATCTAAGTATGTCCTGGTCCCCGACCCTTTTAGGTTCACTTGGATAGACTCATCTTTATAAAAGACTTCTATGGATGGATATCTTGTTTGAAGCAAGAAACGAAGTGGTCTTTATCCAGTACTGCTCGTTTATTTTATTCGTGTGGGAAACTTTTAACATAACTTTCACCACTATATATTTCCATATATTGTCATAAAGAATATCTGCCATGGTTTTTGGGAAGAATTTGCATTTTTCTACAGAGGTCAATGACCTTTTGACCTTTAGATACGTCAATTTCTGCACACGTTTTAAATTTGAATGGCTGGAAAATCTACATGCTACATGTTAATACCAACATCATGCAAATCCATCCAATAAATCATGAGTTATGAACCTAAATGTTAACCCCTACCCCAAACACCGCCATTGATTACACAAGTAATCAAAAATGACAGTAATACATGTAATCAATTTATACATTTTTCTTGTTAATATCATTTTTGATATTCCATATGCCTATTAATAATAGAAAATACTAATTGGTATAAAATCTACTCACATCTGTAGATTTGTAAACGTTTGTGAGTGATTTGGGAATAAATATACAACTTTTCTGTGTAGGTCAATAACCTTTTGACCTCTAGTTGCGTCAATTTCTGATAATTGCAAAACTTTTTAAATTTGAATGACTGACCAATCTATAGGCTAAATGTTGATACCAACATCATACAAATCCATTGAGTAAATCAAGAGTTATGAGCATTTAATGTTATCCCCTACCCCAAAAACTGTTGTTGATTACAAATTCTAAGATTATAACACAATGACAGTAGTACATTTAATCAATTTATACATTTTTCTTTTTAATATCATTGTTTTATATTTCATATGCTTATTTATAATTGAAAATACTAATTGGTATCAAATCTACTCACAACTGTATACATTTGTAAACGTTTGTGAGTGAATTGGGAATAAATATACAACTTTTCTGTGGAGGTCAATGACCTTTTGACCTCTAGCTACGTCAATTTTTTTAAATTTGAATGACAGATCAATCTATAAGCTAAATGGTGATACGAACATCATACAAATCCATTGAGTAAATCAAGAGTTATGAGCATAAATGTTAACCCCTGCCCCAAAAACTGTTGTTGATTACAAATTTCTCGGATCATAAACATTGACAATCATTTTAATAATTCACAATCACATAATGCATTTTAATTTTTTTCTTGTTAACCTCGATTTTTGAATTCCATATGTTCATAACTACAAGAAAAACACAATTTGTATCAAATACATCCAAAAAATTAGACATATGACACTGAAGTTACGTTAATAATTGTCGGATTAATTTTATTTAAACTGCATATGATTAAGAAACACATATGCTACACATTGCTACCAAAATAACATTGATGAAATTTTTAATTCACAGGTTATGGGCATAAATGTTACCCCCACCCCCAAAAGTATTGACCATAAAACACTAACGACCATTACAAATTACGCGAGTACATACAATGCATCCCTATATTTTTCTTGTTAACATCATTTTTTTGTTCTATATGCCCGTAGGAACAAAATGGTACCAAGGAAGTTTAGCTGCGGGGGGGGGGTGTGCACGGTGACCCCCTCCAGCCCATGGCCTATTAAGTGCTGTGTTTGCTTCTGGTAGGCCTTATACCGATTACACATTAATTTTAGTCAACCTTCGGTATATTCATGCAGACAGACCATGCACGTAATACTTCCATGGAGAGATCTAACCTGGTAATAAATAAATAATAGAGTACTAACATTAGGGTGATCCAGTTAGTGAGTGGAGAGGGGCACAATGCCACTGAATCATTTTTTTAATTAACTTGCCCATATTTTAGTAACATAAAAATTATCAACTTGAACATAAACATTAGTGTATTTAAAAAAAGTTTACCCGTCATTTACAAATAAAACTATAGAAAAACTTCCAGTTAATAGAAGTGTTTTATTATTTTTATTATAATTATCCAGTTTAAAAATCAGGGTACACATTTTTAAAATTCAATAATTTCTTTGCTCATATTTATGCTACTGCAAAAATTAACAAGTTAATTTTAAAATTATTTTTATGATTTTTTTGTCATTTTCAAGAAACAATACATCTTTAAACCTTGTTTACCTTGATGCCCAGAAAAAAATGTGAATTAATGATAATCATAATTATGATGAGGGGATGATGATAACAATGACGGTTATGATGAAGATGATAATGACTACGATGACAATAATGATGACGATGATGATGTCGATGGCGACGACGTTGACGATGATGATGAACGGTAATGATGTTGATGTAGGTGTTGGCATGTCACTTAAGGGTGATGGAGAAACTAATGCAGATTAAAGTGAAGTGAGTTCAATCTGGAATCAAACCGAAAAAATTCCCCTGTCAGGGTGCAGGGATGAAATCACCCTCAGCAGTTTTGATTTGGTAGAGTCTAATTTAGGTCACTATGCTATTTTTAGTCTTATAATAGGTCTAGTAGGCCTAATACTTTGAGAAAGCAAGCGATCCTCAGATTGACCTCCAGGGACTAGAAAGCCCTGAACAAAAAGTTACCTGTAAATTTTGAAAATGTGCTGCAAAGCAACTATTCCTATTCCAACCCCGTGCAGGTACAGATACAAGATTGAAAGTTAGTGGAAGTGGGCATGACACTGTACCCTCTATCTCAGGTCCATCGTACCATAATTGAAAAAGCGATGCATACATTCATATAATTCATAATTATCATATATATTTATTTTTTATGAATTGAGAAAAAGTGGTCCGGCCATAGCCGGTGCGCTTCCGACGGCCCTGAATTATGTCCGATTTAGTACAATGTTATTCTCTTTTTTATGTCTGGTTTTGTACAATGTTATTCTCATTTTGTTCTTTACATTTTTCTGTTTCTATAGAAACTAATTTAATACTTAAACGCACTGCTTCTCCGGTAGGTTTTGCTTCTGAGTATCATGTTGTGTAGTATTCTACTTTAATTAAATTTTGTTATTGTTTTATTTTAAAAGTCGTAAATATGTGTATTATAAAAATAAAATAATGTCCTCAATAATTATTACTATGTTTTAAAGGCTTAGGAAGCAATTAAAAATATATATATTTAAATTGAAATTATTCTATGGAAATCAATCTTTATAATTACTTCAATTTCAGTGTATGAAAGATGACGCCAAAGAAGTATTCAATTTTTCTCATCTGCTTTATTCTTCCATCGACCTTTGGTAAGCCAAATACTGCAGTTTGATGCTACAACTTTTGCTTGCATGTTATCATAAATCACAGTTTGGTGTTTAGTAAGTTGGTACAAATCATGGCTAGTGGCAGCATTACTGGGGAGCAAGGGAGAAATTTTCCCCTAATATAAATTCTTGTTCCCCCTCCCCCCAGTTTTGCCGAAAAAAATGAACATTTTAAGATAAATTTCTCCCATAGGTCTGTCTGTCATTTTAAGGCCACTGGCCATTTAAAAACAGTGCATTTAACAAACTTTTTTACATGTAATAAATACACTGAGCATTTAAATCAAAATAACAAAAACGTGGATAGAAGCGTTACCAGTGAATATGTGTTGTGATAAATTATAATCGTATCTCCAGTCTGCTATGTGAAAAAAAATTGTCCCCCTAACATTTTACTTTTCTCCTCACCTTCCAACATCGCCGACCCAGATTTCAGACGCTGGCGCCGCCACTGCTTCTGGCGGTATCACGCCT